GTATTTTTGGCATTGTGTGAAAATGGAAGTATTTTCTGGGATTTAGGGAGAGATGATGAAGTCTTCCAATTTTAAAACATACTATAGAAGAGGACTCAGCCATTATGAACAAAGAGCAGAAAGAAAGTGAGAGATCTTAGGAGGTGGCTTGGTGTAAAGTAGGGTTTTGCCTGAGAAGAAAGGAAAAAAACAAGCAAACTCAAATGTGATGTGAAATAAACCTTTCTGGTTAGTAAAGAGAAAATCTAAGATTGGACATTCCAAGGTTAGCATGAAGGACTTCAAGGAAGAAAATTAATTCCCCCTCCTTTTTCAGTAGAAGGGAGTTTTAAGGAAGGAGTGGCTTGTGAGTGAGACCACTCTGTTAGTGGCTCCAAGAATCTTGATTGGCAATAGGGAGAATGTTGCTAGTCAGTTACTGAACTATTTACAATGTTGTGTTTATTTTTTTCATTTGAAGATATACAACTATTGATTGGCAGAACTAGAATTTCACTACGGTCCTGGTTGGGCCTTAAAGTACCGTGTTCCCTTGTCTACTTCTGGTCCTCCTTGAAAGGCTACATGTGGGGAAAGCAAGGATGAGAACTTATGTTACCATCATCATCATCATCAGTTACTGTTTCTTTTGCTATTCTATGTAAGTCAGTTTCCTTGGTGCCAAGGCTACTAAGGGACAGAAATCACAGTACCAGCATGGGGACTGCTTACTGCCCAACTGAGGGCTTAGTGCTTTATAAGAATCATCCCTAATCAGGATTCTTAATTTACTTGTGGGAAAGAAGAGGTAGAGCATTTTCAGAATAGGTTATCAAAGAAAGGAGATGAATTTGTAAGCACAAGATATTCAGATAAAGGTCAGCAATAAATCTAGTCCCATGGAACCAATATGGTTTCATATCTTGAATAAAAAAAGGAGAATGATTCTCAAATAAATGTGTCTTAGTTCTTTCCTCATGTTTACCATGAGTGTGCAATTACTATACAACTTAGTGGGAGAAGGGGAAAGAGAATATCAGGATGCATATTCCAGAATGTAATCCCTTATGTCTTACTCTGTTCTGGTTTGAGTATTTCATTTGAGTTGCAATAATAATAGACACAAGTAGTACTCTATATAGTTCATTAGTTAATTTAATATTTAGAGCAAATTTATGAAGAGGATATTGTTATTATTCTTTCTCCCATTTAACAGATGAGAAAGTTGAGGCACAGAGGTGTTAGGTGATTTGCCTAAGAATACACAGCTAGTAAGTGCTAAAAGTAATATTTGTACCTGGCAGATAGTTGCAAGAAGTGGTCTCTTAACCACTTAGAGCCTCTCTTGTTTGTAAAAGTTAGTAGGAAATCTGGAAAAGAGACAGGGAATACAAAGACAGCTATCAAAAGGATGGAAAAATAGATATCATAAAATTTAAAAGAAAGGATTTGCTTAGTTTGGAGAATAGCTATAGCTATAAAAGATGTGTGCCATTTTATTTTATTTTATTGTACCAGGGATTGAACCCAGGGATGCTTAACCACTGAGCTACATCCCCAGCCCTTTTAGTTTTTATTTTGAAACAAGGCCTCATTAAGTTGCTTAGGGTCTCACTAAATTGCTGAGGCTTGGCCCCAAACTTGCCATCCTCCTGCCTCAGCCTCCTGAGTCACTGGGATTATAGGTATACACCTCTATGCCTGGCTCAAGATATATGCTTTTAAATATATGAAAAGTTTCTGAGCAGTTGTTTTCTGGAATATTCTCAACCCTTTGGATGATGATCCCAATATTGCATCTTCTCTATTCCTGCTCAGAGCAGCTAAGCACAGTTGGAGAAAAACTATAAAGTCGTATCAATCAATTAGTACCGTCTGCAGCTAAAATCCATAGCTTTGCCAGACCCTGCCCCCCACCGCCCAACAATCTGAATCTTTTCATTTGTCAGCTCACTCTTTTTGCACATGTTCTTGACCTTCAGACATTCGACAATCATTTCACTGACTCTATCCTCTTGGGAGATGATCTTTGCTCCTACTTTGCCAAGAAAATAGAAGCCATCAGATATGTCTGTAGCTTCATATTTTAGTCACTAAACCTAACAAACTAACCTTTCCCTGGTATCCTTAACCTTCCTGCTGAACCAAATCCCTTTTATGAACATTTAAACATGTTCTAAGCTCTCGAGAGGAACAAACTTGCTCCTATTCCTTTTCTTTCTCTCAGCTCCCTCCTTTCAATAGTCACCACAGGAATGATCTATACTTTTTATTGATTTAAGTCCTAATCCATAGTTTTAGACGCATAAGAAAGTCATTATTTTTCTGCAACTCAGTTTTTCCTCACCAATCCCCTATTCTACCAGATTGGGGGGAAAAATTAAGTCAGCAGCATCTGGGGTCTAAGGATGGGTTAAGTCCAAGGTTTTGGTGAACGTGAGTCAACCATGGTCATCTGTCCACATTGGCTTCCATCCAGGCATCCATCAATCTGTCTGTAGATTGACATTCATAATTTTCTGAATAATTGTCTCCCACGGCAGCCCAAGAGGATCCAGCTCTAACGAGTACTCAGGA